GTCATCGAAGTCAAAGCCGACGTCAAAAAAAGGAGATCTGAGGATGTTAACTCGTCCACGGTTGTCGTACTCAAACCCGAAATTCCACTCGGGAACTTCCATGCATCCTTGAAGAGGTGAAAGGGTGGTCACCATAAATAATTCTCCAAGGAGGAGAGATGGGGGGCGGCGGGTTGTAGAAGGGGTGAGGAGGCCGGCGGTGGATGTGGGGTGAGGAGAGATGGGTTTAGAAAACAAAGATAAAAACTGAGAGAAATTTCAGTTTTGGAGAATTTTGGTGGGGAAATTTGAATTCCAATAAGAGAGTAATTAATTCCTTAATGAAGAATTAATGGGGAGAGAGAGAGGAGGCCGGCGGTGGAAGAAAAGGGAGGGGCAGAGGGATTAAACTGAAATTATTTCAGTTTTAATCCAATTAGGAAAGAAAATTAATTAATCCTAATTTGAATTTCAAATTAGAATCAAGAGAGTTAATGTAGTAATTAAATGGGGGTCCACCAAGGAGGGGGCCGGCAGCATGCATAGGGAGAGAGGGAGAAATTTGGGGAGAGGGGGAAGGGATTTAAAACTTGATTTGATGACGTGGCAAGGGGTTTAAAACTCCAAATTAAATTGATTTGAAATTTATTCACTCATGAAAACTTTCCTAATTTGGAATTCCAAATTTGGAAAGAATTCAAAATTTGAATTCTAAATTTCAAATTCAGCATAGGATGAAGGAGGGGAGTTGACCGGAAGGGGAAGGAGCGGCGGGGAGGTGGTTGGCCGGGATGGTGGTGTTGGCCGGTGGCATGATCCAAGGAGGGCCAGCGGCTAGGGTTTGGGGAAGGGGATTTTGTGGGGCTTCTAATGAGAGGGAGATGATGAACAACAAAATAAAATAAAACTAGAGAACTCACTAAGAGATCTCAAAGGAAGAACTCACTAAGAGATCTTTTCATGCACTCACAAAGAGAACAAAGAAAGCAAATTTCATTTGATTGAGCAATTGCAAAATACAAAGACCAAGCCTTTATATAGGCTCAACAAGCATACGGAAAGTAAAAGACTACAATGCCCTTGGGCAACAGCAAATACTAATTCCCTCATAGGGCTACAAAAGGAAAAAGACAAGAAATATAAATGTCATGAATAAAATAAAACATCAAAAATAAAGACTCTGAATCAGGGCCGTCGATCGGCACCTCCGGCGATGGTACACATGTCGAAATCTGATGTCCCCATCAAGAAGGCTCCTGATGTGAAACTAAATGCGATAGACAAGAATTGCAATTAAAATATTAATAAAGGTGAAGAACTTTGCTTTGCCACCAATAAACTCTTTATTTTCTCACGTGAAGGTTTTAGAATTTGTCATTAGAAGATTAAGTAATAACAATTGATTACAATTTGAGATTAGTAGGACTTGCAAAATAACAACCAATGACTAATAGGTAACGCAAATAGCAAATGTAACAAAAGCCTCAAGTTTAAAATCTAGATCATTCACCTTGAGATCCTTCACTCAATTTCTTGAAAGTGGAGGTTAGCGGAGGAGAATTGCAAGCACACTTAAGGATGCCACTATCAAACAAGTGACGCCAAAGGGACTAGTCGTCGGGGAAAAAACCGGAGTTGGAGAAGTAGGCAGTCATCCGATAAGAGTCCACAGAGTTCTTGGTCGTTGAAGCTCAATAGTCTCGGCGAGGCAATAAACGATGCGATTGACGTAACGTTCTACGGTGTTGTCGTACTCCCAATCCGGCTCGTAGAAAAGAGAGAGGGAGATGGCGATCTCTCCTTGGGTGTTGTAAACAAAGCCGTAATCAACTTCCGGATCAGCCATGCATGACCATGGGAGATCCTTGTCGTGTATATAAATGTTGAGGAGGGGGAGCCGTCACTTGGGGGGAACTTGACACAAGAGGAAGGGCGGGAAGAGGGCTCGGGTGGGAGGAAGGGGAGAAGGGGCGGGTGGGCTAGGTCGAGGCTTGAGAGAGATAATTAGAAATCTGAATTTTGATTTACAATCGGGAGGGATGGGAGGGAAATTAATTTCAAAATCAAATTAATCCCATAATGAGGGCCGGTGGTTTAAGAGGGATAAGGGGGGGATTAATTGAGGAGCAATTAATGAAATAGGAGAGAGAAAAGAAATTTTATCCCAAATCTGAAAATAACTTCAGATTTTGAGTAAAATAAGAGGGAAACTAATTTGAGATTTAAATTCAAATTAATTAGAGAGAGGGGGCTTTAATGGGATTTAATGGGGCAAAGCCCATGTGGGGGCCGACAGCATTAAGAGGGAGGGGAGAGGGAATTGTGGGGAGTTAAGCTCTTTCCAAAATAGCTTGGCCAATTTGGAGGGAAAATAATGAGTCCGCTCTAAATTAAAATTTAGATCGGATTCAAATTTGAAAACTTTCCTTATTTATATTTTGCAAATAAGGAAAGTTTTTTAATTTCAAAATTTTAATTTCAAAATTTGGGGCTTGGGAGGTGGGCCGGCGGCTAGCTGGGTGGACAGTGGAGGGCGTGGGAGGGAGGCCGGCAATCGGGTGGGTGATGGTCGACGGCTTGGGCAGCCCAAGGAGGCCGGCAGCAAGGGGAGGGCTCGGGTTAGGGAAAATTACCAAGAAAGACTGTGGGGAATGAGGCCGGCAGGTGGGAAGTTTGGGGAGGGAATTCGATGCAAGAATAAAATAAAAGATAAGAAAGATAAGAGAACAGCGAACCTTGGAATCCACCAAGATTGACGGGTATTGCAAATCACCCTCCTCGGGCTCCTCCTCTCATGAACTCACTAAGAGATAAAACAAGAACAAACTTTTTTTAATTCAATAATTCATCATCTCTTATAATGCATGAGGCCTCCTTTAAATAAGCCGAAAAATAAGACAAAGCTAGAAAGACACAGATGCCCTCAGGGCTATACAAGCGACTAAATACCCATAGGGGCAAACTAGGAAAATAAAATGTGAGAATAAATAAAATACAAAACAAATCAGAAATAAAGGCTCTGAATCGTAGCCGTCGATCTGCGTCTCTGAAGATGGTACATGTCTCGAAATTTGATGTCCTCATCAGATTCACTGACCTTACAGAACACAAAAGCTTGATAATGTTATCAGAAAACCAAACCTTAAGCATGATATCAATTATCAAAAATTTTTATATTGCTATGCAAGTTTTACAGGACTTACAAACAATAAAAACCTTGCACAAGGAAATCAAATCAAATAACTATTTACAGTAAAAGAATTGAAGAATAAAGATAAATTGCTAGGGACCTTTTTCGTGTTGTATAGGACTAAATTGATATATGAAGATCATGATAAATAAATGTATAAAATATTCTCCCATTTAAAAGCAGACAGCAAGAAACACCTACACAAGTAGAATGGCAGGTCTGGTCGGGCAAGCACTTTCTTGAGAAGATCCACTAACTCTTGAATTTTCTCTGATGGTTGAAATTTGGCTTCGAGGATGTAGTTGTCTGGAAACCGAAACCTAATCACAGCCTTCAGCAAAAATAAATGAAGGTTAAAAATATTTAAAAAAGAAAATTCAATAATTGATCATTGAAAAAAATTGAGAAAATCAACATGGATATATTAAAAATTATAGAAATTATGAAAAAGCTACATCTTTGTTTGAATGATCCTACTATCAATACAAACATGTCTAACGAGCAATACGGAGAGTACAATAAAGGTGATTATAATTATTAATAATTTAAAGTCATAATAAATATAAAACATGCATTATAATATAAATATTATAACAAAATAATTTTAATAACTCTAACACCCCTACACGGACCCATGATGCTACAATAAGGAGCATCGAGAGTTCGCATAGTATGAGGAATTAGGAGATCTAGCCAAGAGTTGTTTAATAGTATATTGAAATTGGTTATCAAAGCCAACCGACACTAGAATGAAAAATTATATAGAAAACTAATAGGAACCAAGAGATTGAGCTGGGCCAATCTTTATTGAGACCGAATGAGGTAGATCACAAGAGGCAAGATCGTCATGAGATCTTTACGGAATCCTCACAGGAACATCACAAGATTTTCTCAAGATCCTCAACACGTCTTTGAGATGGGAAACGAAGGAGAAGAATTCAGCTAAGCAAAGAATATCCAAGTCAGAGATCGACAAAAAAAATTGCTGTGAGATCAATCTGACATGGGCAGACGAAAGGTTGACAAATGGATTGGAAGCAAGCATAGCAAGCGAGTGAACTGCAGCATGGCACGAGAAGGCGAAGCATGAGCTAGCAAAGTGAGGAGTTGGATTCTCCAAAGGATCTTTCACAGGCGATAGATCCATATAGAATCTTTTCACTGGTTCCCCGTAGGATATTGGATACTCCATAGAAACTTTATGCAAAGTCAAATATGAAGAATTAGAAAAGCCGGTATGATACCACGCAATGTTTAAAACTGCGTATTCGGGTATTGAGGTGTTTTTCATTCGTGAGGCGAGGCATAAGCTTCAAGGCGTTTTGAGGCGTAAGCCTCAAAATCAAAAGATTGCGTAAACATAAAATGATAAATTTTTTATATACTAATGAGTGAATAATATAAAACATAAAAAATATAAGATATGAAGTGAAATCAAAATATCCCAATAATAAGACAACATGAAATATAATTCAACTCAAAACTTTATCTTTCCCAAATCGCAGTATTATTTTCATTAACATATAATTCAAATTTCCAAAAAAAAAAATAGCAATGACATATCACATAAGAACTCATAAGTCATCAGCAATGTCATCACTAAGGGGTTCTTCATTTAAATCATCATTATGATGAACTGCTCTCTCCACTTCGTCCTCTCCTATAGTCCAATGCCGGGCATTTTACTTCAAGATTTATGTAAGTTTTAATATATATAATGTGAGGCATAAGCCTCATGCCAGTGAGGCGAGGTGGGCCTCAAGGCAGACCTCAACCAAGTTGAGGCGTAAGCCTCATAAAAAAACTCGAGGCGTAAGCATCAAGGCGTTTTTTACTGGAATTGCGCAAAGGCGGGCCTCAAGGCGAGCCTCATATTGCGCAATTTTAAACCATGATACCACGAAAGAAATTATAAAAAATGCTACAAATTTAATTGAAAAATCCCAAGGCTAATACAAGAATGACAATACAAAGGCAAAATTAAAAAGCAATAAGAAAAATAAAATAAATGAAAATATTCTCCATAATGTGAATATATTACAGTAATAAAATTATAAATTTCTAATAAACATTAAGTACATGATAATACTAATATAGAAACAAAAAAACCCTTATAACTCTACCAAAAAATATAATCACAAGCATTAAGAATGACATTATTTTGCCGAATGATAAATTGAAAAAAAAAAAAACATTTAATTTATATCAAAGACATTAAAATCAATTTCAAAGCATTGTTTTTTTTTTATCATTGCTAAGATAATTAGTTAAAATTTGCAATGTACAAATGAAACGGTGATTGTTTTGTTTGTTCTACGTACAGCCAAAACAAAAGAAATATTAATTTATTTTAAACTATATGCCTAGAGGACAAGGACTAGGTTGGGGAGCCAAATAAGCCTCCCTAGCACACTTACAATATTTAACTAGGCCATCCAAAATTTATCATTGACTTGGGTTATAGCTCAAATTGGTGATGGGCCAATCCATTAAGGCCCATCTAGGCGTTCAACTCCATTTCTCCAAAGAAAACTAATATGGAAATTCACTCAATAATTTCTACGTCAAATCAAAATCAACATGAATTTGCTCAAGTTGATCTTCTGCAAGGGTGTTGAGATTATAAAATCCATTGAATTGACTCGTCGCTTATAAAAGTCATATTTTAAACAAACCTGAGAAGAATTTTTTTTTTTAATTTATCCCAAGAAATGTGGTAAATTATTATTTGTTTAGAAATGTCATTATGGATTCAATGAAACAAAAATGGAATATGCATGTTCATTTAGTGAAGCCATAATAACTAGCTAAATATGGAAAGAAAATACTTCCCAAATAGAGCAACAAGAAAGCTGCATGAAAATCCTTGGTTATATCTTATCCGAGTTATTATTATTTTAATAAGGCACATTGAATATTAGATAAGAACACAACCCACATATTCCACCCTCTTATAAGATCCAAGATTTTCTTAGGTGTAAGCCCCAATGATTAATTGCCTCTTAATCAAGAGAGTGAGAGAACTTTCCATTAATGCCCATCTATATTCTCTAATATGCTTTGCCTTTCTACCAAAGCAATTTGGATTGAAAGAAGAAAGACATACTGCTACTGAATTAGAGTGAATGATTGGTGAATTATGAAAAATCCAACAAAGTACTTATCTTTGACTTCTTATTTCATTTGTAATAGGGAACTTCAATAATTTTAGTAACCTCACTAGTTATGATGTATAGTAATCAGGCCCATCATAGGGTATTGGTATTATTGATACCAGAACTACTACATTAAAAAAATTGCGTGGAAATCTGTTAGACCCATCCTTAGTGGACTAGTCCAACTAGCCCCTTCTAAGGGGCCGGTTCACATGTACAAGAGAATGGCGGAAGCAAGAAGGAGAGAGGGTTTGGGTGGGGTCCACTACAGTTCAAATTCAAATTTAGGAGCCAGAGGGGGCGGCAAGGGCTATTAGGTCATTTTACTTCTTATTGTAATTGTATGTCTTAAGTATGAGGGGGAGATTAGGGTTAGGGTGATGCTTGATTATTATTCTCTTGAGAGTTTCTTCTTAGTGTCTTGGGCTCTAGAGTTATCTAGAGATTGTGAAAGAACGATCCTCCTCTCGAATTGAGTATCAATTGTATATTTACTTTCGTTATTTCCGTTAGTTCTCCCTTTAACAATAAAATTACTGTAAGGAGAGTTTCCATCAAATTTTGAGAGAATCGTTTGCTGTTTTTCTCTATCTTTGTTAGGGTTTATTTGATATATTCAAGTATTTCTTATCAAAATCCTAAAGATAGCACATCAAATTCTACATTCAATTTCATCAATCAAGCATCCATCAACTTCTAGTGTTCCACCAGCCTATCTTAATGTCCCTTTGAAAATCTAGATCTCCTATGCCTCATCCACTGGATGTAATGCCATCAACTACGTTATTATCCAACCTAAAAATCCGCAAGTAGAATGTCTTTTATATGCAATCCACCAACCTCTACTGTCATCTCCTATCATGAATCAAGATCCCATAGAAAAATTGGTATCCAAAAAATCTTATCTAAGTCATCGATCACTAAATTCAAATTAAAGTTTTCTGCACCAGAAATAATTATCGGTGCAATTGCGCAAAATGAACAATTTTAAATGCCATCAATGCACAAAATAATAATATACAATCTTGGGTCGTAGACTTTGTAACTTCTAATCATATGATAGTAGATGACTCATTATTTCAAACCCTCCACCGATGTTAAAAGAATATAAAGTCATAATGGTCCATGAATCAACATTATAAATAACTAGCATTGGAGTTATCAATATCACAAGCTCTATAATTCTCAAATCAATTCTATATTCCAAAGCTTTCTTACAACATATTATCAATAAACAAATATATCAAGGATATGAAATATACTACTAATTTTCTTCCTACTCATTATGAATTGCAAGATAGGACTCGCGAAAGATAATTGGCAAGGTAAATGAAAATGTGTCCTAGACTATGAAGGAGATCCTAAAAAGCATGTAAAAAATGCTCCATATATATCTTCCTCCAACGAAAGCACGATCTTGTTATGGCATTTTTCCCTTAGACATCCAAATTTCATATACTTAGAAAAATATTTGTTTCTCTTTTCATCAACAAAAATCCAAAGGCATTCTAGCATGAAATAAATTACTTTCCCAGACATTCAAACGCCAATCTTGGCCATCCTTATAAAGCTGCATAGGCTTTTACAATAATCCATATGGGGGCCATCTCTAATTAACAATATCTCAGATGTTAAGTGATTTATATTATTAATTAATGATCACACCAGAGTCACTTAATTTTTTCTAATAAAGAATAAGTCTAAAATCAGTTTAATTTTCTAAAAATTCCACTCTTTTATAAAGACCCGATTCAAAACCTATATTCAAATTCATCGAATAGGCAATAGAAAAGAATATTTTCATTTAATTGTTCGAGAATATCTCTTTTAATAAAAAATTTCCTATCACACAAAAAGGCTTATCTCCACCATTCGTATCAAAGAATTTGGCTGCTCTACCTTTGTAAACATTTCTCCTCAAAAGATAAATTAGAGAAAAAATTTTATTGGCTCACTCTCTTCTCTAATAAGGATATAAATGCTATTCTATAAGTACTAAAAGATACTACACTATCAAGGACATAACTTTCTTCGAAAATCAATTTTTTCCCTAAAACTCACATTGAGTGAATAGAGCATCAACTCTATGTGTCAATATGTACTTCTGCAATAATATCAGTTCCACTTTATCGATATTTCAACTTTAACTTCTTCAAAATTTACCTAAATCTCAACC